CTTCTGAGTCCGTGTTATTCTGGAGAGCCTCCATGTTTCATCTTCTACTGTCGTTTGACGTTAGCAAGTGCGAGGAGCTGCTTGTTTCGTTTGCTTTTACGTAGTCGGGAAGTCGGGAAATGTAGCTGCTGCTTCACGAGTGCACTATACCAGGCAGCGGCTGAACCTACAATTCTTATCTAGAGGACGACACAACACTTAATGATATGTGGTGATTATTCTCGACAAGATAGCGAGTCAAGAATAGTTTTCTTGACTGAGCATCTTGTTAGAATATTTGTTTCTAAGTAATTCATCGGAATGATGTAGCAGCTAATAATTTGTGCTATTAGTTGAGATTAGAGTACCCTGTCCCTCCAGTTTGTTTCCGCTCGTTGCCGCAAATATTGCAGCGAAACAGCCCTTGACCTACCGTCTTACCCCGCATATAAGGCATATGTGCTGTAAATGAATACAACACTGCTTGTGTGTTATATTCGTTTAGAAAGCCTATGTGTTGTACAACGAACAAATTGTTTGACTTTGAAGAAGCAAGTTTGTGGGTCCTGGAATCTGGCTTGGCCGTTTAGGCTTGACCCTCCTACGCGATCGGCGTGGGTTTAAACCCGCGTCACATGATGTTGTGATTGGTAGCGGGTCTTTTCTTTCTGTTGTGGCTGCGTTGTATACGGAGGTTTTACGCCTTTCCGATAGTCTGCTAGAACAGCGAGTTTCTCATGGATACTATTGCTACGTCGCTCGGCACTCATGGCTGTGTAAATTATAAAATAGGAGAATTAAAGCCAAGTAACAGCAGCACCGACAAGTTTGTTCAAAAGGGTGGTTGGTTGGAAGCTCTCAAGAATATTTACTGTTTGGTACAGCCTTGTGTTTTAAGTAGGTTTCAGCCACATGTGTTCTAATTAGGTAGGTAATCAAATCGACGTTTAAGCTAGATGTCGAGCGAATCCCGTATTTTATTTAGAACACATATGCCTTATATGCGGGGTAAGACGGTAGTATTGTGAAGAAGTAGGCGGCGATTTGCTTGTTTAGGACCATCGTAGCTCAAAAATGTAGTGAAGTTTGAGTGGTGGCTCGCGTATCGTAGCTTACCAAGACACTCTCGTAGCCACCGGTTTCAGGTTGGTGTGGAGATAGTGTGATGAACAACGAAAATGATGTACAAGATCTGATTGGTGATGTCATATCGAAACAATTAAACGGTTCCTACCAGGGAGCCTTTTGCCATATTTATTGTCAATAATTGGTCCAATACCATATTGTATTGATATGCTCAACTACCAATAATACATATTTATATTGTAAAACCCAATAACTTATTGAATCGCAATTATTATTTCCGACCTCTGTTGTACACCGTCGTGTGCCAAAGCACAAGCTACGTCTTGTACGTACTGTAAGCTTAGAGCGATGCTAGGTGATGCATAGCCTATGCATCACCATAAGCCCCGGAACGCTGGCTAGTCGCATGCAAGGGAGGTGACGTCGAAGTTGAAGGATCGATCGGAATAAGAGTGATGATCAGTCGAAAATGGCTGATCATTTCAGATTTGGTGGCATGGTCTTGTCAATAATTTCGTATGAAATCATAAATATATTTATTTCGTCAAAATCATGAATGCAATAAATAATCCATTTGTAAGAAACCCAGTCTACCATAACTTATGAAAAGATTTCTTCATCATTATGCTATTCACGGCAAGCCACGGCATTTTCATTGAAAATTGATTTGCAAAACGCTAAGCATCACAAGTCGCTGGAGTGCTCACTCTTCATTTCGGACAAAGTAGGCAAAAAAGTGTTATTACTGCGCGAAAACGGTGTGATTTCGACAGATTGTGCATTTTTAAAATGACGTTGAGTCGCTCTACATTATGCTCTTATGTATTGTTTGATCACTGTACATGCCATAATGTATGTATTGGCACTAGCTTACCAATACCTTTATATATGCTAAGGGAGGGTTCCCGATAAATAACAATGTCATAATCGGGGAGCCCTGACGGCGTATGAACTGCCGCCGAAAGGGCAGCAATGCCTTTTTTTGTCAGTGCAAAACTTGTTTAAGAGAAAATCAAACATATTTATCATGATAAATAATAATACTGGTATATCACTTTGATAGAAATTAATATCGTCGTTGATAAAATCGCCACTGACACGAACACCTGGGCGAAATGGCAAAATCGTCATGTCATAGACAACACAGGTGCAGAACAAGCAGCTCAAACGACCTCAGGCATGTGTATTCAAGCTCAGCTATTAGCCAGCCGTCGACACCTTCATGTCAATTTATTCCCCTTGGGGTGCCACTTTCGAAACGGAACAGGTCGAGGAGTAAGAAAACTCGACGATTTTACGCTCGGGGTGCTTACAGGCCGCGATTTTGAGCTCACAAGGGTTGCTGTACTTGATACCGTCAGAGACGCAGACGGGCAGCGCAATGTCGGGGCAGGAATCTGGGCACTTTTTGCTGGAAGGGGGTTCATCGTTGATTGAGGACGAGTTTGTTCTTGCGCTGTTCTTTTCACACTTGGCACGCTTCATGTAACATTCGTTTGAGTAAAAATTGCCCTCCTCGTCGGCAACAGGGGTGTAGTAGTCGAGACAGATCTGCGGGCAGTCCAGCTCATTCAATTCGCGAGTTGAAGGGTCGTTGATCACACGTGAGGACTGAGCCTGAACCGTGGCGATGGCGGCGGCCAGGAGTGTGAGCAGAACAGGAAATTTCATCGTTGGAAGGGACCGAGTGCGTCGTTTGCGGAGAATCGAGTAATGATGCGATCACCATTGCCACCAACGAGGAGACATCTGAAAAATATTGTAAGTTGTACATATAAAGGTATAAGGACACACTTTAGTTCGATGCTGCTGTAAATGAACTGTAGAGAGCTTCCGTTGTTTCTAACAAAGATATTATTAATAATTGCGGGCTCATGAGCAAATCGGAGGGTTCGGTTCGTCCCTCTCATAAAGAATGATGCAATATCGATGTTTGATTATTTTATAATGCAATATCGATGTACAGTCGTGCACCTCCAATTCGGCACCGGTATCAGTCGATACCCTGCCAGATTTTATGATTACGCGAATCGGATGCGCAATTACCTTTGCCCATCACCACCCTAGTAATTAACCTCAACAATTTCCCCTCCTCGCGGAGGGATGACACGCCGCATCGATCTGATTTTAAATTTTGGATGGGACGTCTTCATACAAACACACTTTGATTTTTACCGCCAAAGACAATGGGACATCGCCCTTCCTCCTACATGTCCCTAACTAAGTCAGATCCTGCATGCTCTCACTCCGAACTTGCTCGTTGGGCAACGGAACGCTTTAAGACCCCCCAAGCAGTAAAGCGCACTACCGTCCAGAGTATTCTTAAGCGGTCGGCGGACGTTGCCGCCTTGCCGGATGCCAATCGCGACCGGAAGTGCTGTTGCGCGCCCGCGATTCGCGCGTCTGACGCCAAGATTATGCAGAGTTCAAGACTTGGCACGGAAACGCAACTATTCAGGGCTCTACGGTACTAATGATTGCTCAGCGTGAAGGAGTACAGCTACCCGGAGGCAATGCACCTAGTCGAGGGTGGCTGTACCGCTTCCAGCAGCGCACAGGGCTGTGGTTTTCGCAAGCTCCCGCCTAATACAACTGCCGTACTGCAGCCCATGGACCAGGGCATCATTTAGTGCCTGAAGAGTGAGTATCAGAACAAGAAGCAAGCCGCGGAGCTGGACCTGTTCTACAAGGGTGTTTCTTACACGCCGGTCGACGTTTACTCCGCCATGAAGTGGTTGTCTGAAGGCTGGAACAACATATCTGCAGGTGCCACACAGGCATCGTCTCAAAACTAAACGTAAATTTTGTACTGAATTAACAAAACCAATATCAGTGCACTGGATTTGCGTTTGTTTTTTGCTTCACGTTGTGCACTTATGCCCTGGCACTGTTGATATGGTCCGCCCTGCCGAATTGGAGGTGCACAACTGTATGACTATCTTAAACAACCTTCATAAAGGCCCGCGTAATGTGATGACAGACGCTCCACCGTAAACAGCCGAGTGCGTGATGATGGACGCTGTACCGTAAACATTTTAATCACAAAAAATTGCGTCAACGATGATGTTGTCATCTTTTTAACATTTAGAAAATAGTTTTACTGGAGCTGGCATATTTGCATAATAGATTGGTTTTGAAGCACTTCTTACCTACTTTTCCGTAAAGTTCGCACAACTTGACGCTCAAAGCCAGTCCAAATCACCTGAATTTGACTCTCATATTTAATGATCGTTGTGCCGCAAATGCTAAGGTTCGGCCTACTGATTGAATTCTCCGCCACCGCTCCTAGTTTCGGGTACCCATTCGTACCCACGGGGAGGAAAACAGCGGAACGAGAATCCATTTTTTAAGAAAGCATTTATTTTGAAGAAGCAAAAAGCATCCCATCGCTAATTGTAGTTTTCGAGCCGTGATAACGACTATTCTTCTAATCACCACGCGAAACCCAACGGGGATAATATTCTATTTAGCCTAACTTAACATATAAATCCCCCTCCTTACCCCTTTTTACACCGATCGTTGTATCTCTGTCAAAGACCACCATCGTGTGTATTTAGCTGCGAGCTCGCGTGTATTACGATCATTAAAGGCGTTGATTGGCCGATCAGGCTAGAGCTCGTATTTTTTTTATTTGACCAGGGTGTTCACTGATAAATATCTACCTTCCACAATTATTGCTAATGGCAGAAGCATGTTATATAGGGGGAAATGTTAGGATTCTACCTGCCAAATATAAAAAAGTCCCCAATTTAGCGGTGACTCATAATCACTCTGTAGTTCGGACCCCTGTGGCTCACATGTTATTGCTCACTTAGTAGGATGACCGCCAAATGACGCCTAGGCAGCGGTTTTAACGGCGTGCCCACTACAACTCAAGTATAATGCGGGAGCTCCCACCGGCTTCTCACGTTCTCTCGGAGCCTCCACCGCCGGTCACACATGGCTCGCCAGGCCTATTGCCTCTTCAGCTAGAGCATGAACACGGGCCTTTCCTCCAGTGCTCGGGGATAGGGAGGGCTGAGAGGAGCTGTATCTATACCCGAGCTCTGTTAAATGCAGGCTGCTCCCGGGCGGACATGCACATAAAGGCGAGGAAGAATTTCGCTACGGCTAAGGCCCACGTACTTCGCACGAAGCCCTTCGTGCTACAATCAGGGGACGTGCACGAAGCGGTGTCCCGTATCCCCTGTGGTCTCTCTCCACGGCCGTCACCCTATCGGATGCACTCCGCCTCATAGGTTGCCCACATTGCTGCTTATCTACCCACTATTAAACTCCAGAACTCAGCCTACCTTCTATGTTTACTGACTCGGTACCCACGTCACTTTGCGCAACCTTGTTATATTACTCTTGACTCGTCACCCTTCCGTAACAAGCCGCAACCGGGGGTCGATCATGCCGGAGCGCAGCTCGTTGCCCTCTTATCAACCTTTGATTGCATTGGACCTCTCCCTTACTTCACACTCATCACAGCCATCGTCGTCCGCTTGCGGCACGTCGCCCCCCCCCGCCCTCGATACTCACCTCCTGTAATACTTGCCATGTCACACCCCCTGTGATCTTATCGTACATCCTGACTGTGGCTGTAGCTTGCTGGCTCACCGTCGTCACCGAGGCTCACGACTTGTCACCGCCCTCGACCGCGTGCCCACTTCAGTCGACCGTCAGGTCGCTGACCACCGGCTCCCGATCTTCTTGCGCGTGTCCGTCAGCCCTGCGACAAGGCAGCCGTCTACACAACGTCCCCGGTGATAAGTTAGCCCTCGATATTTCCTGCATCGTTTAACGAAGTACCCCGTGTGGTAGTCACCACTGGCTGGTCGGCCTCCTCGAATATGTCAAATATAGAACATTGTGCTTGATCTCGTACCAACCTGCTCGATTCCGCCTGTGCTTTCGTGCCCGCCGCCGGATGTAGTCGGCTGTATCAACCTGAAGGAGGGTTGGCATCGGTTCTAGTCTTCGCGGCCGCCCTCTTCCTTGCATCATCTCGACTACAGTCCCAGTCGCCGAGGCCTTAGCCTCGGCTTCGGCTTCATCTAGGCTTGCTTCTGCATATGGATCTGCTACGTCGCCTTGACCTCACATCACTTCACCGCCTCCGGCATCCGCACCTCTATGTAGCCCATCATCCTCATGTTATCCATCGCTGTTGCTCCTGAGCGCGGCATTTCGTGGCGTTCGACTCGTCGACCGGCTTCTCGTCGCCGTCGTTTATGGTGTCGGTCTCGGGCTCCATCCTCTTCGGCTCACCGCTGTCGGCCATGTCGCTCCAGCAGCGTTTTCGGCTATGACACTCAGCTTGATCGTTTGACCATCGTTACACGCGATACCTTGGTTGATGAAACGTCCGGCGTTGTGAGTGGAAGCGTTCCAATCACGCTATCCCCTTCGGGTGTGCCAACCGCCTGTGGCTCTCCGCCGGCCTCCCCGGACCCTTGCGCGACCACACTTCCCATGACTTCCGTGCAGCCGTTGTCACGTGTGCCACAACTCCGGACATGCCATCCTCGACCGGTCCGGCACTCCATTGCAATCTCCCGCATGGCCCCGTACCGCAGCATCAACTTCTCGACGAAGAGCCCAGCCACGTCCATGTGGTGAAGTACTTTCTCAGAAATGATCGACGGGATCTGACAAGGAGTCATTATCACAGATTAGTGACAACACCCGGTGGTTAAGGACGATCTGGATTGCCCAGCATGGATCCATAACGCTCGACGTGGATTGGGCCGGGGTAAATAGTATCCCATATGGGTCGACGATGGATCTGGGGAAAATAGGTGGCTCAGGGTATGAAGACCGAAAGAAGAACATGGTTGGTGGTGGTACAGCTGATATCGACCAAAGAAAAGCTCGGATTCACTCGCACCTGTACTTATAACGAGGGACATGAGACATACCATGTGCGGGTGGATCGAGTGGGGATCCTACGGAGAAAAGACTGTGGATGTCATCTGGAGGTGGATCTGGTATCAGCAACAAAAGAGAAGGCAAGACTCATCGCAGTATGTCTCAGATCCCACTTTTCCAAGTCCGGATCCAAGGGATTGAGGATCCCACACCGAGTGACCTGGATCCAGGATATGGGGATGGTGGATACAATGGATTTCGAGCTTTTGTGGAGTTATGGAGACCGCAGGCATTCGTAAGGTGATGTTGGAGGATTGGAGGGCTTAGATCCATGATGCGTGTACACTTGCAGTAAGGTGGATCAAAGTGGCTTGGATCAGGGACTGTGTACTTATAATATGGCGACCGCATTATAATCACGTCATGGATTCAGTGGATGTGATGCTGATACAGCTGGGGTGATGGACCGAGGAGAAAAAGGGCATGCCGCCGAGCCTGGTAGAGGATTTAGCAGGTAAAATGCATAGAAGGTAGAGTTCAGGAGGTATAGGCTTAATTACGAATCAGAACCCAATTTGCAGAGTATCACGCAAGTGCCTTCCTGTCCTCAAGAATCGGAATAACATTGGTCGTTCGAGCTCGGTGAAGGTTGGGAATTGCGCATCTAGTGTTGGTAGTGATAACTGGATAAAATATTGGCCAGATCCTACCACCTCGTAAGCTTTCCTTTACACGTGCAGATCAGAAAAGTTAACCGGATTTACTACTTGGCCGGGTATACCTAAGAGTCTCTCAACTCTCAAGATCCCGCTAGAGGAGGCGGCAAGTACGATACAAAGGGAAACAAAGGCAAGGGAGCACACCCGCAAAGCAAACTCTCCGGCCGAATTCCAGATCTAGCCCCTGGATCCACTAAGCTCGAATATTCGCTTGGGAACCAGAAAACAACTACGGACGCAGAGTGACGATCTTACTACTACTACTCCTTCCCATCCCCACGTCTCGCCAAGACACTCAAGCTTCACCTCTTGAGCTCTTCGGGAGTTACAGAGAGAGCAAGATCCCACCCTACCGACGGGAAACTAATGTGAGGAGCTCAGCAGATCACGGATCATCGGGGGGGGGGGTCCCCTCCGTTAGTCGGTGTCTGAACGCTGTTGGTAAGCTGGATCCAGCAATCTCGCAGATTTTGCTAATCCTGCTACACCACATCCACGACCGTGTGGCTGGGCGCCGCCACCACCGCGTAGCTCGTTGCATATTCCAGGACCGACACCACGTATCTGTTGCCCTCGCGATCGGCAACGGGTCGGCCACGTCGAGTGCCCATCCATCGCCTGGACTGCCAGTCTCCTGGCTCCGTACCGGGGGTATTACTAACCGCGCCTTCGCTTTGCTTGATCTACAGTCTCTATACGACTGGCCTCACCGCCTGACGTGTGCCTTCACGTCCGACCACAAACAGCTTGCCGTCGGGCTGGTGCACCTCTGTGGCGTCTAAGATGACCCGCGTACCCTGAGGCGTGGTTCTACATCAGTGCATTTGCCCGTAGCGCCATCGGTAGCACCATACGACGGGTACCGTCGAATGCGCCACGCCGTCCGACTCCGCGATCGCTCTGTAACGGGGTTACATGGTGTGGAACACACAGGGGTACGAAGTACCCGGCGAGTTAACAAACTCTCAGTACATAAGTTGGAGAGTTAACAAGGTCTCTCAGTACGTTGGCTGAAAGCCACACGTTATGCATTTGATTAGGTTTAACTATGCTAGATAGTTAAAGAGATACATTTACTCCTAGGCGGCTTGGCCGCAATAATAGTAAATAAATCACTTCTGGTTTTGAAGCATAAAAGTTAAGGTGTTAACTTTGAGCCCTGGTCTTGGGCTGTAAGTGTCCTTTGGATAAGGAACTTAGTATCAGTGACTCTTTGAGTCGAACGTCTTCCTCTGACGCTAAAGCTACGGCAGCCCCGCTGCACTTGGTAGCACTTGTAGTCAATCCCGCTCCTGAGTCGGTTGACTATATCCTCTGCGAGGATGGAACACCCCGTGTTCGCGAATTTGCCCCCGGCGCAGCAGGACGCGCTTACTAAGCTTATGTCCTTGCTTGGCCCGGAGGGCGTGGCTCATCTTGCATCGCAAGGTCCAGAGGCGGTCACTGCCAGGCTGGAATCGTTCTCCCGCTACGAGAACGCGCTCTTGGAGCATGTCCAAGAGAAGATGAGCGCCGCAACGGCGGCGGCGTCGATGACGCGTGAAGAGTCTATGAGACTGAAACCGCTCATGGTGAGCGTAAAAACCTTCGAGGGGAAGGATGGAGAGAATCTCCTTCTCTGGACCCGTGAGGTCGAGATGGCCATGGGATCGGCCCTGCTCCAGTCTGAGCATCAGCGCGTGGCGCTGGCTATCTCCAGGCTTGGAGGTCGCGCTCGCGAATGGGCACTAACGTGCGGCACGTCTGTTGACGCTGCATTTCCCACTTAGGATCAGCTGAAGCAACAGCTTTCGCGCGTGTTCGCGCCGCCTAATCTGGCTGTGGGAACGACAGCAGACGAGAACTCGAAGATGGATTTGAACGCTGGTAGTATCAGCCTGTCTGTGGGCGTACCGTGTCCGGTCAAAGTTCCTTGCTACCCGCCAGGGTAAGAAGGATTTATTGGACTATGTCCAAGAGTTGAGAACTCTTATCGCCGGAATGGCGGCGGACCCTCTTCCGGAACTGGTCAGCGTGACCGTGTTCATGGAGGGACTTTGTGTGAGCGCAGCTCGAACGGAAGTGTTCCGTGTACACCCTAACTCTTTTGAAGAGGCGGTGGATGTGGCATTGAATGCCGAGCACAACTTCAGGTCGGCGCGACCTGGTTGGAGCGCTGGTAGCGCAAGCTCTTCGAGCGGTCCAGAGCCGATGGACCTCAGCTATGCTGAAGATGAAGAAGCGGAGCTTCTTGCTGCGGAGCAGCGCGCCGGCATCCGCAGATGCTTTGTGTGCAATAGCACTAAGCACTTGAGGGCCTATTGCCCTCTGCGCAAGAAGCGCGAGGCTCCGGCGAGCCAACCCTCCGGGTCATCGCCGGGAAACGGCAGCTCCCAGTAGGCGCGGGGCGGCCTACTGGGGAAGAACTGAGTTCTGTTGTGCCTCGAAGAGGTAGAGGACAACGGGGCTCAGCCCCAAAGAGAGCTGAGCTCTCTTACGAGAAGAGTGTGTGCAAGCCGGGCTTGCTGGTCGTTCAAGCGAACGTGAAGGGCTTTGCAAAGCCATGGAGAGTCTTAATTGACTCGGGAGCCTCGGGCAACTACGCCCGTCGCTCCACCCTGGAAGGGAGTCAGCTGTATGCTGAGGCACTAAAAGTGCCAACGAGAGATACGATCTCTGTCCGTCTCGCGACGGGGACACTGGTAACTGTGTCGAAGGTCTCTGTCGACCTTGGAGTGAAGTTTGAGAGCTTCGATAGCGTGGAACGCTGTTTGGTCTTAGACCTGGATGCGAGGTATGACCTCATCCTTGGCATGGCATGGCTGGAACGCCATGAGCTATGGATCGACTGGAAGTCGAAAACGCTGGGTGCGTCGCACCCTGCTCCTAGTGGAGCTTTGGTGAGTCATGAACCCACCTCTGCTAGGAAGCAGAAGCGCTTTTGGCGCGAGCACGAGGCCGAGGCGGCCGTAGTGCTGGACATTGGTATGTCCGAAATTGTTAGCAACGAGGTTGCTGTTTGCCCTGAGGGCGTACGTGGTGCGGCACGTTATCCGCGGAGCGGTGCAGGTCAGGTCAATGACCAACTGCTGGATCCTGGTGAGGACGAGCGCGGAGTGGCGCGTAATCCACTGAGTGGTATGAATCTGGTCGATGACCTACCGCTGCGTGACCCGAGGGTCGCGGTCGACTGCGAGTCGAGGCATCATGGGCGTGGCCCAGAAGATGCAGGTGAAGTGACATCTAGTTCACTGTGTGAAGGTCGAGGACCTCTCGGCTTTCAGCCGAGTGTCTTGCGAGACACTGTATCCTCTTCGAGGAGTGATGGTGCTGCTGCACCCGGTGGTGGTGACGGAGATGTCACCACACCGCCCTCATCCGGCCGGGCTCGGTCGCGGGAGGGAGAGGAGAAGAAGACGCAGGGCGTCTGTGACGTCTTCGACGTCGGACGATGTGTCCCACGTGATGAGCGGTGAGGCTCCACGTGATTGCTGTGAACAGCTGTACACACTCGTGAACGGAGTGACGGGGGAGGTAGAAGGCGACATCAGCCTTGACACTCTGCCCGCTGCAGATGCTCTGCTAGAGCTGGAACGAGATGTCTATTGCCGAGTTTGGCGAAGCCTTAAAGGCAGGCGAGCTAGCCGAGGTGGTCCTGCTGGGACCTGAGGAGGAGTTGAACTCCTCATCCGTCGTGGACGACGCGGTCCTAGAGGAAACCAAGAAGGCGCTGAGCGCAAGAAGTGGATCGGCGATCCTCAAAGATCCTTCGGATCTCTTCTACCTGGTGGTGAAGGAGTATGGAGACGTTGTCTCGAAAGACCCACCGACGGGCCTGCCTCCGGATCGAGGCGTGCGTCATGAGATTGACCTGGTTCCTGGAACCAAATACTGCGTAACAAGGCAATGGCCTTTGCCGAGAGAGCAGTGTGACGTCATTGACGCATTCTTCCGTGCAAAGCACGAGGCAGGGATGGTGCGTGAGAGTAAGTCTCCGCACTCGACACCCACGTTCTGTGTCAGAAAGCCGAACGGCAAGTGGCGCATTGCTCATGCTTTTAACAAGCTAAATGCGGCCACTATCTCGGCGCAAACGC